GTGACTTTCTTGTCCTCCCTTTAGAGAAGCCTATCCAAACATATTTTAGCTGGATAATGATGTGTTAAAGCATAGTATGTCTGTAATACAACATTTCACTTCCAGAAGCCGCTTAAACATTGACAACTTTGTCAGGAGAGGGATTCGAACCCTCGCCTCCAGGGGAGACTGCGACCTGAACACAGTGCCTTAGACCGTTGACGTTGCTCAACTGCTTTCATGGTGCTTTTGCATACACAAACAAGAGCAAGACTGATTGACAGAGCTTTGTTGTCCCTGAATGTACTGGGAGGATTTCATGTCTTACCTGTGTAAGTACAAACACCAGAACCACCATTCAGTTAATACTTCACCTCCTCATTTGCCTTAACTTCTGATGCCAGAGATACTGGAAAGAACAGAAACACTTAGAAGAGCCAGTGACTTTCTTGTTCTCCCTTTAGTGACGCCTATCCAAACATATTTTAGCTGGATAATGATGTGTTAAAGCATAGTATGTCTGTAATACAACATTTCACTTCCAGAAGCCACTTAAACATTGACAACTTTGTCAGGAGAGGGATTCGAACCCTCGCCTCCAGGGGAGACTGCGACCTTAACGCAACGCCTTAGACCGCTCGGTCATCGCCTCCAGGGGAGACTGCGGCCTTAACGCAACACCTTAGACCGCTCGGCCATCGCCTCCAGGGGAGACTGCGACCTTAACGCAACGCCTTAGACCGCTCGGCCATCCTGACGTGTTTCTTCTGCTGTCATAGTGCCTTTGCATACAGTATGCACAAACAAGAGCAAGACTGATTGACAGAGCTTTGTTGTCCCTGCAAGTACTGGGAGGATTTCATGTCTTACCTGTGTAAGTACAAACACCAGAACCACTGCAATCACCATTCAGTTAATACTTCTCCTCCTCATTTGCCTTAACTTCTGATATCAGAGATACTGGAAAGAACAGAAACACTTAGAAGAGCCAGTGACTTTCTTGTCCTCCCTTTAGAGACGCCTATCCAAACATATTTTAGCTGGATAATGATGTGTTAAAGCATAGTATGTCTGTAATACAACATTTCACTTCCAGAAGCCACTTAAACATTGACAACTTTGTCAGGAGAGGGATTCAAACCCTCGCCTCCAGGGGAGACTGCGACCTGAACACAGTGCCTTAGACCGTTGACGTTGCTCAACTGCTTTCATGGTGCCTTTGCATACAGTATGCACAAACAAGAGCAAGACTGATTGACAGAGCTTTGTTGTCCCTGAATGTACTGGGAGGATTTCATGTCTTACCTGTGTAAGTACAAACACCAGAACCACCATTCAGTTAATACTTCACCTCCTCATTTGCCTTAACTTCTGATGCCAGAGATACTGGAAAGAACAGAAACACTTAGAAGTGCTATTGACTCTCTTG